ATTCTTGTAAGAAGCCTTTTTGAAAACTGATGATCTTGATTTTATCTTCATTATTCATAAATCTTAGTGATTTTGAATATACCAAATAATTTTTGTCTTGGTCATTCACAAACACCTTATCGTCCGAATTAAACTCCATTGTTTTTTCCACTAGAGTTTCATATCGATGGAGTCCAACATCATCGAGGTTGACTGGTTGGAATGTTCTTGTTTCTGGTTTAATAAATTTTTCACCAGAACTTACCCCTAGCATGATTAAATGTTTTGCTGGGATTACTACGTCGTTGAGCCAGATCGGTACCGACTCATGACTTTTAGAAAAATGCCCTTGTCGCCTTGGATGCATTTTTTCCTGTAGTTCTTTATTGCCTTAGGAACATTAGAAGGTAGTTCTTGTAGTTCTTTTAAGGTCTGTCTGGGATATATGGTTTTTACCATCCCATATTCAAACGCTTCAATAACCATTTTTGGGTTTGCGTTTATTATGAAATTAAAGAACCTTAAGTCCTTTCCATTTGTTGTGAAGTATTTATCTGTCAAGATTTCTGCTTCACCACTGTTTCGGGCCAGATTGATCCAATAGTCCAAGCCTTCCTTTGAAAGTTGGGCCGTATTGGTCTGTTCATCTTGTTGGACTTCTTGATTGGGTTTCTTGGGGATTTTTCCAAGAGTTTGGAGCCTTTCTTGTTTTCTCGGCTTTTTTAGGGCCACAGTGAATGTGTTAGGCTTAAGTCCATCTGCTGTGCAAATTAGCTCAAGGGGAGCTATTGCGTTTATTCTTGAGTACTGATCCGCTGCAATACGAGCCGCAAAGAAACTTTTGTACTTCTTATGTGAAACACCATAAATACCACTTGTAGCCTTTTTGGTAATCTCCCAGTCTTGATAAATACTTGCATTTGGGCCATTAAACACGACAATATGTTGTATCTTTTTTATTTGGGATTTGAATTCCCTTATCACTGTCAAGTGATTTTATCTGTTTAGGAACAGAGGTTCCACCGTTCAGTCTGAGGTTTAAATCATCAGAATTATCCGAAGTTGTTGGTAATTTAATACCTATTGCCGCTTTTAGTAAGTTGCCAGCTATTAACGGATTTGATGGGTCTTTACCAGTAGCCGTTTGATCTGGACTAGTTTCACCTTCAAGATCTATAAGATCTGGAGGAGATGAAATTTCCTCTTTTTGTTCACAAGCTAGGCTTGTTACATTACTTGTTTGTTCCATTGTTGGAATAGAGACAGTAGAATCTTTTTTTTGTTCAGCTTTAATCAAGCTTACATACTTGATTTTGGCGCGAACCAAGTCAAGTTCTTGGACGAGAAGTCCTTCTCACAACCAAAGCTGCTCTAATTCATCCAATTTAGATGATGCTTTATCAAGCACAAATAGTGCCTGGGAAGCAACTCCCTATTGTCACCGTCTGTGATTGGTTATGTGCTCCGTTGAGCCTTAATCCTGAAAACATTTATCAAGAGTCGTTAAATTCTCGAGATAAAAAGTCTGCGAGGGCATTTTTGTTTCCTGCAATGTGCTGTACATCAGATTCATATTGATTAAGCCACATTTGCCATCTAACAAGTCGACCTTTTTTGCTATCACCTTTCATCTTGGTTTTTAAGAAATAAGTGAAATTTTTATTATCCGTCCTAACAATAAATTTATAAGGAGTAAGATAAATTGTGAATTTCTTAATGGTTTTTATTACCGCAAGATATTTCTTTTCATTCGAGTGATAAATCTTTTCAGCAGAATTAAAACTTCCTGAAGCATACCGACAAATATACTTTTTATCATTAGATAGTGCTTTTAAAACACCACCCCAGTATGCATTTCATGCATCTGTTTCAATGATCAACTGATCATCTTTTTTTAGAAGATATAATAAAGGAAAATTGGTTAAATTTTTCTTTATTTTCTTCATGTAATTAGTATCGGTTTCTGACCAATACCATTTTTTATCTTCCTTTGACTTAGCTCGTAAAGGAGCTCTTATACTAGCCAATTTAGGAATATAATCTGAAGCATAAGTTAATACACCTAAAAAATGCATTAAATGTTTCTTATCTTCAAGTGTATCTGGGAACTTATGAATATGTTCCAAAATATGATTTTAAGGTTTATGAAAACCTTCTTCAATTATTAATCCTAAAAATTCAATTTTAGTTTTAAACAATTGAGTTTTCTTTTCAGACAGGATTATTCCTAATCTATCGCATTCCTTTAAAACTACTGCAACATGCATATAGTGCTCTTGTTCTGTATCACTAAAGATGAGAATATCATCCACGTATACACAACAAAATTTTCAAACTTTCTAAATGCATTATTCATGTCTTTGAAAGATTGATGGAGCTTGTTTCAAACCAAAGGGTACTACCACAAACTGGTAATGTCCTAGTGGGCATGTAAAAGCTGTTAGTAATTGGGATTCCTTGTCTAAAAGGACTTGCCAAAAACCTGATTTACAATCAAAAGATGTAAATATTGTTTTTCCTTTTAATAAAGATAAAAATTCATCTTTATTAGGTAAATTATGACCATCACCAATTGTTTTCTTGTTTACCTCTCGCTAATCAATAACAATTCTTCGTTTAGAAGTTCCTTTTTTTGTCTACAATGCTGGTTAACTATGAGGAGGCTTACTTGGAATGATGACCTTCATGTCAAGCATTTCTTGAACTTGTTGATTTAGTTCTTCCCTGTCTTGGGTGTATAGCTCATTGCTTTCACCACAATTTCAGTTTTAGGGTCTATCAATTTGATAGAAGCCTTCATCCAATACTTGGTCTTATTAGGATCAAGTGGATTTTCTGCACAAACTTTTTTCCAAAGTCTTTCAATTGTAAATTTTTTTTGTTGATGAAGAACAAAAATGTTCATATCTTTCCTTAACTCTAATAACCTCTTTCCCCCTCTCTTTAAGAAGTGAGATTTTATCAGTAGTTATTTGAACTGGTTCTGGTTTTTTGGATTTAGATTTCTTTTTCATAGATTCTGAATATCTTGGATTTCCAACCTTGTATGCAGTTCTCAATTTCCCTATATGTACAGGTTGATTATCTTTGGTGAAAATTATCCTATCAGTGTATTGAACAAAAGGTTCATATAGTTGACAGAAATTATTTCCTAGAATAAAGTCCATTCCAGATTCTTGTTGATAAACAGTTGAAATATGAAATATTTCTTCTGCTATCATTATATTTAAATTTCTACAAACTTTATTTATTGAGATTGAACTTCCATCTGCAATATTTACTTGCAATGTTCTTGAAGCATTTTTTCCAATGTTCTTCAGGGATATTATATTTTGAAGATAAGCAAAGACTTGCACCTGTATCAACAAAACAATGTATTTCCATTTGTTTATAACCTGCGAATTTCAATTTACTTTTAATGTAGATTGAATTTGGGTTTGTAATACTGATGAGGTTATCCTCACTCTGTATCACTGTTTTCTGTGCTAGATGTTCTTGAAGAGATTCATCTTCTAATTTTTCCAGTATATAGACTTCCTCTATATCTGAATATTCTTTTTCAATTGGTTCAAGACCAAATGATTCTGCAATCTGGAGAAATTTTACTTTCTCAGATTTTTGTCTATTAGGACACTCATTTGTATAGTGGCCTTCTATGTTACAGATCCAACATCTGCAATTTTTTTTCCCTTTCGGGCAAAAGTTTTTCTTAGGTTGAAACTTCTGTTTCTTCCTAAAATATTTATCAGGTTTAAAAGTTCTTCTCTTCTTTCGCTTCTGGTACCTATATTTTCTAGAGAATTTTTTCTTAGATTTTCTTTTGTTTGGTCTACAACCATAATCTGTAGATTTCTCAGAAATTTTAGAACAACAGTTTCTGTTGAACTTCTTCATTTGTTTTTTGCTTTGTAGTAGCATTGCAAATTTTTTCAATTTTCTCTCTCACAAGTCTTTTGGCATAGCCAAAACTATATGTCATAAGATTTTCAGCTGCTTCATATTTCTTTGAAGCATCATTTCCTACAATAGGAACTTTTGCTAAATACATTCTTATGTATTCAGGATGTTCTCCAAAATCTATTTTGTAAAGATTCTTTTCGAATTCACAATTAAATTCGTCAATATAACAAATATCACAAAGAGTCAGATTGTTTAATCTTACCTTTGCTTTCGATTGTTCTATAAGCTTTTCATTTTCCGCATTTGATACCCGATCAATGCCCAAAAATAGAGTATATAGACTATTCAGAATGCTTTCAAGCATAACTGTAGGGTCTACATTTTGAGTATCCCATTGAACTCTTTTTATAAAATTTTGTGCATTTCCAAGCATTCTATGCTCAGCAAGTGCTAACACAAGTTGTGCTGTATTGAAAGTACTGGGATTAAGATTAATCACAAGACTCATTTCTAGTCCCCATTTATCAGTTAATTTCTTAATCGTTTCAGGTTTCTTATAGTCTAAATCAAGGATTGAGGCTGTCTGTACTTCTCCAGCAATACCAGGAATACCGACATTGTTGTTAGATGACCTAGATGGTCTAGGAGTTACTGATGGTTTTCTTTCGAATTCATCAGTATTCATATCCTAATCATCTTTTGTTCTAGATGATTCTGGTATTTCAATTCTAAAATTTTCTTTTAGAAGTTCTTCTTCATCATTGAAGTTTATTTCTGATTCTGACTGAGTGTCAGTTTCAGTTTTCTCAATTTGATAAAACTGTTCATTTTCATCAAGTTTTAAAAGCATCTTTTGGCCATTTAAAAGCATTAGGATTTCCTGAACTTCCTAGTTCTTCATTTCCTACAAATTATTAGGATATGAATATTTAAGAAAAAAATATATTTTCTTGATTAGGAGTTATCTCCTTTTTTCGAAGAATTTCTTTTTTGCAAGAACATTTACCAATTTCCTGTATAACATCATTTATTATTCTAGCCGCTATCGGTTCTAAATCTTGTTTAGAATCTTTAGGCTGTTGTTGAACAAATTTAAATAACTCATCTATCTGTTTTTTCAGGATTCCATATCCCGTTTTATGTCCGTCAGGTATAATTCATTTTATATACCTAAAATCAAATAAGGGTATAATAGTAAATTTGTAACCCATTTTTGTCAAAATTTTTTATCATTATTATGCACATGAAGTTGTAAAAAGGTGTTGTAAAATGATGTTGTACATTTGACCGCGCGTCGCGACACGGCAAATTTAAATTTATAATATTTTCCTCGACTAGCCTCTACTAACTAGTAGTAGCGGCGAGTAAGGGTCGATCCCACGAGGAGTAGGAATTAAATTGTGATAATTTTGTATCAATTGAATTAAAACTAAGAAAGCAATAAAAGGTGGGGGGGATTGGTTTTATAAAAATAAAAATAAAAATAAGAAAATAAAATAAAAATCTAATAAAATAAGAGAAGTCCAGTTTTCGGTTCAGTTATCACCCAATCTAAATCTACCGTTAATTAATTTCGACGCTTTCTCTAGAATGCTAATGAATTACCGACCCTAGCTAACAACAAGCTCTGTTAACCGAATTTTCCCATACCGAATATTTAATCGAAATAAGCTCTTCGACTAAATCTAACTAGCGGACAACCTAGAATAAGCTCTCTAGATTTAATACACTAGTAGCATTAATTACGAGGAAAATAGATCAGTCTAAGCAATGGACGCAAAAGCTCGGACCATTTAACTTATGTTCACGCTACCCTAGAGATGCACGACCCCTAGTTTACTACTAACGAAACGAGACAATAACAATTACGGATTAAAGCCTCGAATCTAGCAATTAAACTATGAATATTTAACGTAGTTGGCCAGACTAAATCAAACACCATAATTCATAAACATTATACACAGATAACATGAATCAACTCATCAACAAAAATAAATACGGCGTCTCGATTAATCAACGATAAAAATAAATCCTTCAATCCATAGACAAATCAAAGTTAGGGTTCAAACATCCCCTCAAACTGGATAAAAATATTAACCTAACATACTAATAAAAATAAATAAAAAGATAAAAGATAAAAGAGAGAGATTAGTTATCTCCCTCGTGTGCGATGGCGGCTTCCCTCCGCGTGTAGCCTCTTTCACTATCTGTGCGTGGTGTATTCTTCCTGCGCCTTTTTTCTTCTACTGCTCGCGTGAGTGCTCTCGAAAAATTAATTCCCCAGAAATTAGAAGTCCCCACCAATCAAATCCTCAAGACAAAGTCCTTTAGTGAATCAACTACTCTCATTCGTGGGGCCCGCAAAATAGAAAATCAATTCAAATTAATTGCCCCACATTCTTTTCATTCACGTGTATTCCACTTCCAATTCCAACTTTATGAGTCACAATTGGGCTTTTTGTCATCCGGCCCACTTCAATTTTATATATTTTGGGCTTCGATTAGTATTATATTGAGTGCCCGATAATTGGTAGCGTGAACTTCCGTCGAATGCTTCGCGTACATAAGATACTCCAATGAGCTGAAAATAAATATAAAAATATCAATGTGTATGGATCCATCCAAATAATAAATAAGTCGAAAAATATAAACATGCGAATAATTTAAGTGTATAAAAATACACTATTATATATATAAAGCATGCACATTTTTTTGCCTATCAACATTTAGACTTCTCCTTTTCAATATGTTTACACCAAGAGCATAGGAACCCACAGCAGAGGCTCAAGAGTAGACACCATAGACTAACCTGCAAGTATATTTAATCATAGACTCATAGTACATTTTAGACAGGATTATACGATTTTGAAACCAAACTAAAACCTGCATATGGATAACAGAAAGTGATAGGGCCTCTGATGAGTATTCTCTTTTTTCACATATTTAATGCTGATAAGTTGATTTTTCTTCACTTAATCAAGTAATCAAATATGTAGTTACACTCGAAACCTAAGAACTCGGATATTTGGAAATGATAGAGAGGACATTATGATATGAAATCCAGACACTTATAACAATGTCACCAACTTTTCCAACTTATTGTGCTCTTTAAACACATCACAATTAAACAAGAACCAATTTCTCATTCCCCAGCTGGCCATCCCCCAACCCTGGCTTTCTTTAAGCCTTTCGAAACAAACGAAATCAAACAATCAAGGAAAATATGAAGTAAAAACGTAAACAAAGTACTGCAGCATCCACTCAAAAACCAAAACACTACTAAAAAATATCATCTACAGGACTTAATGGAGTGTGTGGACATCTCTTTAGGACCTCATTCACTCACTCACCAAATGGCTTCACCTTTTGTACTTTGGTCAGCTTATTACTCATCACTTGTAAGCTAAAGGTTTTCCCTTTTCCTTCCACTTTTCACTATTTTCCTGGTTGTCACTGCTTGTGATTTCTTTTTCGAATATTGCAAAAATACAGCCACTTACTGAACTCCAAACCACACCATGTCTTGAAATCTCAACGCACGCTACACAAATTGATCCAATCTTTCACCAGCTAATCCGTTTTGAAAATCTTGGGTTTATCGCAATAGTGATCATCATCAACACAACTTAGTTTCCTTCTCTTTCCAACTGTTGGTTTGATTACTGAGTTTTCAAGATCACTAATGGAGCTCGTACGAGTCGAGGATATCAAACTACGAGAAATAATAAATCTCGAAGCCTTTAATTTTGGCGTCTGAATATCTCGCAGCAGATTGTAACAGCAATTAGCTTGCTCCTGATAAAAATAAATAAAAGATGAACCTTTATTAAGCAAAACCATAAATAAATAGCTTAATGTCCCGAAACTTCAAATCTAAACAATGCTAATACATTATAAAGCAATTGGACTCACTTTTTCAAGGGACCCCCATGATGAGACTGCATTATTCATCTTAATCCCAACTAATTTTTCCGGCAAATGATAACCGCAAGCAGCTAAAGCTGCTGAGGCAGCAATAATGGACGGCCGATATTCCATGAGGTTGATCTCTAGATATCAAACAATCCAAAAATTCAGCTAAAACAAGCTTCTTCAATGCCTATAACTCAAGCAAAAAGTCCCATCTACATGGACATGGGAATTACCTCCAATTACTGCCAATATTAGCTTGACTGCTCGATTTTCGACATCTTCATGTGTGAAATCCTCACCACTGAACTTGGTGATGAAGTAGTTTAGATAGGCAAAAGGAGTGGCAGAGGTCATTTTCCATTCCAAGGTATTCAAGACCAATAACTCCATCCTTTGAATCACTTTTCCTTCGAAATTGTGTTCATCCACACAATAATCAGATAAAGCAGGGGCTCTGTTTTCCTCCATCTTTGCAGCCAAAGATAAACACGCGATGGATAATAACCTAACAGCCCACAGCTTCCCTTTCTATAAGGAAAACAATGGTATACCTCAAATTACATCAAGACAAATAGAATAATGAGACCCCATATAAAAGATCTGTCGAAATTTTCAGTCACTTACATCAATCGACCTTCTTGAAAGGAAGCGGTCAAAATAAATCAGTGAGAGAGAGGCTGTGCGGAAATGAAGTCCAAAAAGTGCCCTTTTCTGCTAACAAGAAAAGAACAAAAAGGAAATGTAAAATATTAAAAAAAAAAATCTGTATTTTAGGCTTTTAGCACCGAAAAAATAAAAAATAGCAAAGGTAACATACATCAAGAATCCATTTGACGGCAATTCCACGTGCCCATTTCAACCAGCTTAGTTCACTCTTGACTGGAAAACAATTGCTGTTCGATTGGAAAATGGTTTCTTTCTGGATTAACATCTCAACATATTCATACTCACACTCAGAAACGAAATCGGGACTCGAATAGCTTTCATCTTTGTAATGGCAGAGTTCAATGAAGCTGGACTCGTCTTCTTTGCACAAAAGGCATGAATATTCAGAATCCTCCATTTTTCTATTTTCTGAGTAGAGAGAGAAGAAGAGTGTGCAAATTCCCGGGGTGTAAAGGGTTTTGAGGAAATCTAGGTTCGAGGAACAAAGGACTATGGTTTCTGCCGCCAAATTTCTTGGGTGGTGCTATCGAATTTGTTATTTGAGGTCATATATATAATTGTTGGTAAAAAAATTACCACAATTATTTTTTTTCCCCACTCTTTTCTATTATATTTTGTATTAATTAAATAACTAGTATAATACTCGTGTACTACACGGGTGGTTGACAAAATAATTAAATTTACAATAAAAAATAAAAAAAAATTATATATTTTGTTGAAGTTGAAAAAAATAAATAAAGAACAATATATAACAATTTATAATAAATAACTAAGTGAATTAACAATATTATTTTAAATTTCTGAAAACTAATTTATCTACGTTATTAATTTTATTAATAATATTTTTTTTATTCAAAACACATAAGAAAATAATATGAACAAAGTACAAAATTGGCAAAGTAAGATTATATGAACATTATAGAAAGAAGATAATAAATAGATTTATATAGAATAGAATGGTTTAAATATATTAAATATGTGTGTATATATGGTAATACGAACCTAAATTATTTTTTTCCCCTGAACGATAGAGGTACTATATTACTAAAAACCGCAGGAAGAGAAAACAACCAAAAGCTGAATAGTACAACCAGATGCTAAAAACTGGGAGGCAGATCCTAAGATCGCTTAGAATTGACTAGCAAAGCTAGAAAGACAAACTCGAATTAACACAAACAAAAACTAAAACAACTAAAAAGATCCCAACAAGATAATGCCCGAGTGTAGGATCTCAATAGGATAATGAGTTTACACCCGGGCTCACAGAGACCAACTGGCCCAAACTAAAAACACAAGCCCAAAAACAAAGAAAACAACTAAGACAAAGGGACCTAATCTAGCAACAAACAAAGCCCTTCCCTAGCGGAGTAACCAAATCCAACACAAGGCGCCAGCGAAATAAAGACTAACCATCCCACAGCTTGACCCAGAATCCGAAACTCCACTCTCGCCACTGCCTAATGCCTAGCAAAGGACAAGTCCCGAACCTCGAACTACTCCAAGGATGAAGTCGACCCACAACCAGAGGAGTATCGACCAGCCCCCCACACACCAACCCGAGACCCGGCCAACACCACTAGCCAAGATCCGGGGGTGCCGGATGTTCCACACCACCGCACCAGTGGATTCGGGACAGAGGGGCTCGAATCAACCCACCTCATCTCCAAACGACTCAGCTCAGACGCGCCAATCAACCGGAGTCGCTCCCAGCTGCCCTGACCACTCATCGCCTCACAGCAACCCACCGAGAGCCAAAAGAGAACCTGCTCCACCCGCGACCGAGCAAAGAAGAAATAGACCATGGGGCCAACCTCCCTCGACTTGACCGGAAAACCAGCAGCCGAGACCACTCCTGACGAGCAGGAAAAAGCGAATCCTTCCAATGGCAATTGAGATCCTCCAGCGGCGCAGAAGATTGAAGAAGCGAGCAATTGAGGCGATAAGACGCCGCTACAGGCTATCCGCCGGCGATGGATCCGGCCAACCGCGGAGGAAGGCGTGATTTTTCAAGCATTATTTAATAAAAAATATATAATTACTAAAAACAAATTAACTATAAAATTTAATTATTAGAAATTAAAAAAAATATTTTTATTCATGACATAATTGCAGTTAACACTTTTTTACTATATTTTTTAGTAAATAATAATAAAATTATAAAAAGAACAATTATGTCATGAATAAAGAATGTTAACTATAATTATTTGATGAATAAATATATTTATTTTTGTAATTTTATAATAATTTAATTATAAAAAAAAAAAGCTAAAAGTATACCTATTAAAAATAACACATCACAAAATAAAAGTAATTAAAAATATTTTCTAATTTTTTTAATGTATATTGTATCTTTATTCGTAATTAAAATTTTTATAAATTGTTATAATAAATAATTATATATTTATTTAATAATTTTATCTTAGATTTACTTAATATTATTTTATATTAATTAATATATATATATATAATAATTTATATAACAAAAGAAAAGCATAACAATATAAAAGATAGGAAAATCTTCAAAACTAGTCTCACAGGTTTAGTGTCATGTCACGTATGATAACAACTGCCAACATGTCAAGAAAAACTGCCAAATCTGCGCCACATGGCATATCGGGCTTTCAGGCCCGAAATCGCATGAAAACTCCTACTTTTGTTAACTTTTTGAAAGCTGTGGGATTAATTGTGACTTTCGCTATATTACGGGACAAAAAATGGCACCCCTTTCAATCTGTGGGACTAGTTTTGAATTTTTCCCTTTATATTACATAATTGATGCATATAAAATACTTATTTAAATATATCTGTATATGCTATTTGGGAATAATTAGTTATATAATGTGTGTTTAACAAGGCCCTTTAATTTGACCCCGGAGAGCACCAGCAGCAAACATTCACGAGAGCAAGGGAACGCCCAACGGCTGGTTAAAAAATCAGTACATAATTAGTTATATAATGTGTGTTTAACAACAAAAATGATTACATTTAAAAATAATTATATTGATATTATTTTTTCAAAAAATTTAAGAAGAAATTTTTTTACAAAATATATGGCATCAAATTCGGATAAAGTTATAACCTAAAACACTAAAAATAATAAAGTCAAAATTGATAGTAAGTTGATAGTAAGTGAATTTTCCCGTTTAATAATATTAATAATAAGTTGGCCCGCGATTATTATTATGATGCATGGAAAAAGAAGAAGATAAAATAAATATAAGTAGGGATGAACACGTGAACATGATAGCAAGGAGCGCATATGGACCAACCCCTACGCAGCAGTATGATATCAACTACGCTCCTTCGCCAGCCCATTCCCCATAATTTCCTGCAATTGTTTAAAATGTCACCATATTTCCAGGTTGTTAAAAGTGATGCTACTTCTATATATATGTCCAATCTACTGATTCCTCTGTTCACATATATAAATGCGAGTTTTACAAATTCTGCTAACTTTTGACTGGTTTAGTTTCTTGCATTGACTTCCGCAATAATAATAGTTAATACTGTAAAACTTTTAGATCGTGCTCTATATTTCAGAGAATCTACCATCATATAATTATTTAGAATTGTTGAAACGTGCCGACGGGCTGGCCGCATTGTAGCCCGCCAACCTAACTGACCTAAGAAACCTAGGCGGCTAGGCCCAACCTGTCCTCGCACCCGGCTGTGGATTTGGTGAACTTGACCCGCCAAGTTTAATAAATTAAGTTTAGATATGCATATTCTAGCGATTCTAGGTTTTTCAACTCGAAAAGTCCTTGAGTTCTATGGATCAATGTTTCATCTCTATTCTCCGATACTATAACTCTTTCAAAGTTCATTGGGACGAGTATGTCACTAATATAAGTTCATTGGGACGAGTATGTCACTAATATGCCTTTGTCACTGTGGTGTTTTTAACAATTGCTCTTGTAACATTTGTGATGCTATGGTTTTTGCTCAACAAAATGATTCATTGATGAAATTTTGCTTAAATGAGTCTAATTAGTCATATCTAGTGGAGTCACTTCCTACTTTCTTCCCCATTGCCTTCTTTGTCTAAGGTCTATTCCTTATTGCTTCAGGAAGAAAGTCAGCGTAATCTTACTATTTCCACTAAAAATGTTTTTACATGTGCTATGGTTGTGAAGTAAAGCTCTCAAACTTCTTTTAGATATAGTTAGCCCCCTTTTCAAAAGACAGAAAGATATTTAAATATAGCCATCGTGGTTATAATTAGCCTTCAAAAAACTACTATCAAATTATAGGATATCATTCTCATTGAAAGGGTACTAGAGGTCCCCCGCGTACACCCTGATCACACCTGGGTCTTAATGGCCCTCTAAGGCTCATACACCATTGAATATTCACTCAGCTCTATCATCCACGTAACCATTCGGCCTGACACCAATGTCAACCCAGAGTCTCTTGCAGAGGTAGATTCGTTCTCACCCTTACCTTGTGTGTTGGAAAATATGGTCTCAACTTTCTAACCATTATGACCACTGCTAAGGCTCCTTTCTCGACCATAAATTATCTTAGCTCGGCACCCTGCATCACCCGATTGACATAGTAGATTGGGTATTGGGCCACACCTTCCTTTCGCAGAAGTACCGAGCTCAATGCCGTCTTGCCAATCGAAATGTACAACATTAAATCATCGTCTTGCACTGGTTTGGCCAACAGCAGCAGACGGGCTAACATGACCTACAACTCCTCGAATGCTTTTCGGGCCTCCTCCGTCTAATTGAATTTGGTGCTCTTCTTCAAAGTTTTTAACAGTGGGCTACTTCTTTTGGCCACATTTGAGATAAATCAACTCAAACCCGCAATCCGAATCGTCAAGATTTAAACCTCCTTTACACTTTTAGGTGGTCTCCTTTCTAGTACCACCTGCACCTTCTCTGGGTTCACCTCAATCCATTTCTTCATCACCATGTGCCTAGGAACTTCCCCGACTTAACACAAAATGAGCATTTAGTCGAGATTAGTTTCATGTCATACCTCCACAATGCGCTGAAACGTTTCCTTAGATATGCTAATTGATCGGCCTCCACCTTGCTCTTGACCAACATATCTTTGACATAGACCTCTATGTTTTCGACCCAGCTGCTCCAGAAATATTTTTTCGACCAGACGTTAATACGTTGCACCTGTATTTTTTAGACCGAACAACATGACCACGTAGAAGTACATCCCTTTGCTTGTCAGAAAGCTGACCCGCTTCTTGTCCTCCTTGGCTAATGGGATCTGATGGTAACCGTGCGAATCATCCATTAAGCTCAACAACTCGCACCTGGCTGTTAAGTCGACTAGATGGTCAATCTTTGGTAATGGATAAAGATCTTTGGGGCATGCCTTGTTGAGGTCTCTAAAGTGTATGCATATCCTCCACTTTTTCTCCGATTGAATACCATCACAATGTTAGACATCCATTCAGGGAGTTGAATTTCAACCACATGCCCCTCCTTAAGCAGCTTATCGATCTCCTCCTCGATAATTCTATCCATATCAGCTCTATGGTGACGTCTCTTATGTCTGACCGATTGAACTTTGAGGTCAGTATTCAACCGATGCTTGATGATGCTCTCATCAATGCCTATAAGCTCTTTTGACATGTAAGCAAAGATATCAGCAAACTCCCACACCAACCTAATAAGTTTCGTTCTTAAATGATCTTCCAGTTTTGCTTCAATTCAAAATTTTCTATTGTCACTTCCCTCGATCATCTGGATCTCCTCGGTCTCCTCTCCAAGTTGAATATCCATATGCTGCTTTCCCTTGTCCTCCTTCGGCCTATCCTTCTTCGACCTTGAATTACTTGGTCTGTTAACCTCCTCTTCCTTTGGGGAATTTTTCTCCTCTCGTTCTACATGTTTACCCCCACCGTGGTCTGCTAACATGTCCACATGTCAATTGGTACCCTACGACCTCTCCAACCCGTTGGCCCACCAGGTACTTAATCGACATGTGATATGTTGAAACCACTGCCTAAAAGGCGTTTAGGCTCGTCCTCTCTAAAATGATGTTGTACACATATTCGGCTCCTACGACCACAAACCTCACCATCTTTACTTGTTGAGCCCGACCCCAAAGCAACTGGAAGGGTGACCTCGCCCATGGGGAAAATCTCACTCCCATTAAACTCATAAAGGGATGTGTCTACCTCATTAAACTTAACCTTCAAGTCCATCTTCCTAAAACGGTCGTAAAACATAACATCGACCGAGCTTCCAGTATCAATAAAGACCCATTGCACGTCGTACCCCGCTATCTCTGCCTGAATCACCAACGCGTAATCATGGGGCACGTGCAATCCTTGAACATCCTCACTCGAAAGCTAATCACAAGCTCTCGAGTTGCAATACTAACCTCCTCTCACTTCCTCTTGGCAGCTCAAGGATGTTCCTTCTTCTCATTGTTCGAGTCCCAATCCGTTGGACTTCATGAACTCATATAGATGGTTTCACATTTCGGAAGGGCCTCATCCTCCCCGTGCACTTTATTCTCTCATTCTCAACCTCGTTTTTCTCCACCGCGTCGACCACCCTAGTCTTCTCGATCCTTCCTGTCATCTCAATCATCTCGGTCGTCCCTATTATCTCGATCGTCACGACTTCATCTTTTCTCTTTCTTCTCTATGTCCTTGTTAAAAAACTCGTTGAGCTGACCTGCCGTGATCAGCCTCTCATTGTCATCTTTTAAATTCCCTCAATTTTCCGTTGTGTGGCCATAATCGCGTGAAACCGACAGTATCAACCTGAATTTGGCTGCATCGGCCCATCCCTCCTCGACTTAGGCCAAGTCACTATCCGACCATCCAAACTCCGCTCAATCGTTTTGAGCACCTTAGTCATTTGTGTTTTAAGTGGTGTGTACTTCTCATATCTCTAACAATTTTTCATAGGTTAGTTCTGCCACCCGTCTTCCCTTCTCCTGTCAGGCCTATCTTTCTTGGGCGAGTGCGCTCTTTCTTTCTTAACCTCTAGACGAGCCAGCTACTCAAGCTTCGCAAACTCCTCCTCTGTCTCCTCCATGTTTGCGTACTTCTTACACCTCTTCAGCACCTCGTCATAAGTTCTGGCCGGCGTCTTAGCAAGGAAGCTTCGACATGGACTAGACCGTAAACTCCAAAACAGACCTCCTGCCTTGACCTCGTCAGAGGCCAAAGGTATTTCCACGCACGCCTGATTATATCTGGCAACATAATTCTTTATGGACTTGCCCTCCTATTGTCTCATCGCCATCAATGTCAAGTACATCTTCTCCTGGGAAATCATGTTGGAATACTAGTTTAGAAATAAGCTAAAAAATCCTCAAAGTCCTTCACCGACCCCGGGGGAACTGGTGAAACTAATCTTAAGCTCCTCCCCTTAGAGTAACTAGAAAAGCTCGACAACACACAGTTTCCGAGCAACAATGCAAAACAACCATATTTTCAAATGACCTTACTTCCTCGACGGGTATGTCGACCCGTCATATGTGAAACTGGCCTCCTTGAAATTTGTTGATAACGGAACATCAAGGATCTCCCAAGAAAAGAGATTCCCTCGAGCTCGACCCACTGCCTTATTTTCGATCTTGGCTTGTAATTGACGGATCTGTTCCGCCAGTCGCTTCATTGCTTGATCCCTCTGTTCTCCTGTATCCCGACACTTCGACTCATCCATCTATGTGTCCTGCCTGTTCGCTCCCACCATAGTAGTGGGTGTTGTGGTTGCCTGAGACGTCTGATGAGTGACTTGTTAGGCTGCTCCAACTACAATGACGTCTGATATCATCTTCGAGAGCTCCTCCCTGGACATCGTGACGAGCTTTCCTAGCTCGACCTCACTCTTGGGTGGCTCATCGCCTAGACCATCTTTCTCTTCGACTGCACCTGGAGATCTGCGACCTCATGGGTTGTTCGGCCTCCGGTGGGTTGCTTGGCCCTACTCCTGCGGCTGAGACCACCGATGAGCTCCCTAAGACTGTAAGATGAGGCGTCGAGGTGATCGGGTTCTGAAGTGGTCTGGAGAAGCCTGGTGGTGGGCCTGCTCCGAACGAACGCGTGTTCGACCACACGTCGTCGAATGTTGTCTAAGTTTTTCCTGGTAATCTCATTCGCCATAGATGAAGAAGCTTCAATGGATTTTTGAACAAGTTCCCACAGACGACGCCAAATGGTATGAAAAGACCCTCGAGCGGATCGGTTTCGACCTGAGCTGGTTGCCTCCCCGATAGACCGTCGTTCAAGACTTGCAAAAATTCGACATCGGAGGGGGTTTTTCCCGTGAAGAGCCTCTGATGCTTAAGTTAGTACAATGAACAAGATGATGAACAAAATGTAAGTGTGTAGAAAATGTATGTAATGTTCTAGAGGGCATAACTCACTCCCTTTTATAAGGAGTGTTACTTTGTTGTTGAAGACTGCACGATTGAGCTACCCGAACAACCCGTTCGTACTGCCCGATATGCCCCAACTGCCCAATTCTGTTAGACCACTTGGCCCTATCCACGTGTGGTCCTTATTCTGTTAATATTTGTTCTTATACATTAGTCTGCTTTGTTAAACTGCCTAACCGTGCGACTAGTCCTAATCACGTCGAGATAGAATGCCGTGTACGTTGAGCCCACATTCCTTGTCTCCTGGTCGATCACATGACCGATCGTACCTCCTGGTCGAGTTTCCATCAGGCCATCTGAGGGCCCTAACTCGATCTGTTGATGTCTGTTTAAACCTCCAACACCTTCATTGACCTGAAGATTCCTTGTTCTGTACTGATGTTCGACCTCAATCCGACCTTCCTTTGTTCCTGTTCGACCATCCGGTCCGCCCGACCTGGTCAGCCGATTTATCAAGTATGTTCTACCTCGTGTGGTATCCCATATCAGATTTGTCGTGATAAATTTTGGAAACAAATAATTATAGAAGATTTAGTAGATATAATCAACTATAAACATATAAAAAATAAATAAATAATAAGAATAATAATTACAACATTTGCTAATTAGTAAGCCCAATAGGTTTATTAACAAGTCAAGTTACTATTTTAATTTTTCCAACCACCTCTCGAATAGTCTCGATAGAGAGACAGATTTTCGGAAAAATAGAACTTCGTCCCTGAAAATATCCCGCCATTAAACCTTCTTCCTCGCGCCGGAAATTCTATCCACTGATCATCCCCAAATCCTCTAATCTTTCAAACATTCAGCTTTCGCGGTGCATCTTTGTAGCTCTTTGTTGCGGAATTTTCACATTCACCTGGAGCTCGTGCTTTCTACTCTCGCCTAACAGTTTTCAAGTGAGTGCTGTTGATCTTACTTACTAGCTAGTTCAATTTGATATAACATATCAGATGAATGATTTCCAATATTTGATATCAACGAGCAAATTAGGATATATTATTTCTTGTTGAGAATAAACTGGGATTGAAACTCCATTTTTCAGGATAGTATGTATACAAATGGAAGGGAGATTGTTTCATCTATGGCTGAATATTAAGAATAAAAAAATGAACGAAAATAATTAGGGCTTCTTGCTAGATATTATGCGATGCAATGTTCAAAATTTCGAAACATCCAGTTTGTTTCCTCAGCAATAGATTTGAGGTGTCCTTGCATATCCATATCTCATGAACTGTAGTTTGGAGCTTGGAAATGGAAAGTGGCGGTTGGGCTGTACAAGATGTTCATTCTGGATACTCTGTTTCTCACTTTATCATTATTGTGGTCTGTTGACATCTCTTGAACATGTTGCCATCACTTGTCACTTTCGCGTATGCCATGACTACATGGTGGGCATAGTTACGAAATAAAACTCACGAGGTTTAGCCTAATTAACAAAAATAACCCAGTTATCTTTCAAATTTCAAATACCCTATTGACATCTTTTTCCTTGATATCTCAAGATGGAGATATTTAACTAGGCATCCATATTCCTCAAGGTGGTTTTTTTTATTGTTTTCGAGTACTTGTAGTTGTGAAAGAGAGGTGAAGTTTCCTTGTACTCAGCTAAACCTCAGAAGTCTTTTCCGTAACTACCCCTACATGCTATCATCAACCATCAATCATCATCAGAATCTCCTTCATGGTGTGCATTGTATCTACTAAGCACTGGTAGAGATGCATTCACGGGCATCCTGAATGATCGACCGGCCCCAACTGTTGCCCCTGCCTGCATACTCCCCACATCTTTGCACACGTTATCCAGTATACCAAGAAAATCTCTTACAATCAAGAAAATCCTCAAAGGATGAGCCTCTTCTTTTGCGGCATCCCCATGAAAATACTCCGTCACATGCTTCACCTGCAACAGAGCTTTTCTTTCCTCCGCCTTGATTCTCGCAATTTCCACGGCAGCTTCTTTAAGAAAATCTTTCATACAATCAAAGAATTTCCCTTGTAACCCTTGTCTCTCGTGCTGCATAATCCATCTGACCTTGTCGAGTCCTGTCTCGAGCTTCAATACGTAGCCGCTCAAAACGTCTGCATCCATTCCCGCTGCTTTTTTTACACTGCCGAGCTCTTTGCTTAGCCCGGACACCACCTGCAGACCTTGCTTTCTGAATTCTTCTTCTTTGAATTCAAAATTGGCTTTATCCGGAAGAGTTTTTGGTGTGGGATTGGGATGTGATCCTTCTGACCGGATAATCTCTTGGACCACAAAATGGAGTAAGGTCGTTTTTCCATCTGCCCCCTTTACATCGGCTAGTTTCAACAACGTGTCCAGTTTGAAAGCTCTGGCGTCTCCTCGATTGGTACCGACATTCATGCGGTTGCCTGTTCTTAGAACAGCTTCTAGGAGTTTAAGGAACAGGCGGCTGTTCTTCAGTTCTTCACTAGCTTCCTGCGTAAAATACAAAACCCATAAACGGTTTAAGCTTTCCCCACAAAACATTTCCGTGGAAAATTATTTTGTTGACAGACAGACAAAATGGTGTGTTTTGTTTTGCTCTCTTTTTCGTTTTTGTACCTCGAGAGTTTGGAAAGACTTTCTCAAGTACAAGACTTCCGTGTCGAAGTTTGCTCTGTACAGCATGGCCTCCACTCTTTTGAAGGCACATGGGATATCTAGTATTCCCTTGAGGAATCTCTCTGCTGATCCTAGTTTTGAGACGTCGCCAATGTAATCTTTGAGTTTTATCTCCTCCTCCTTGGTTGGTGCCATCTTCACTAGAGTCTCCAAAAGTTCTGGACCCAATGCCTCGGGATTTCCTGCAGCAAAAGTAATAGCATTTTGATGAGTCTATGAGAAATTTAAATAAGTTCTCAATACTTGCAATAATGTTTAATTGTTGTAAACTAGGAGTTACAGAAGTCTATGTTGCACGTAGCATCAACCAGCAGGATTTCTATGTCATCTCGTATTACTTAACACATGTAAGTCTCCTGTGAACTCTGGCTTTGTTTTCAAGCTCAAGAAAAAATGCGTACTTTTTTTTTTTTAAGTTATGCGTGAAATGCTGGTAAAGAATGCAACTCTCACAGCACAGGGTTTCGTTTTGTTTGGAATCTGACTTCATTCTGTGTTTTTTATTATCCTCCATTCTCGTCTGAGGACTTCAATTGTGGTAACAGTTATACATAAATCATAATACCATTTAAAAATATTTTAAATTTTTTATTGGGTCATCATGGTTTAAGGGACAGGAAAAATGACCATATATTCACCATCGAAGAGTCATGTCTTTAGAAAATAGAAATGTTAACCAGGGGGGATAATAAGTGATGGTCAATTGCTATTTCACATAATGGAAAGGAACTAATAGTTTGGTTTTATCTGCTACTTTGTAAAATTTACATAATTGTAGAATAGAAAGAAATGGGTAGCTTACCATCTAAAAGCGCTTCAGAAACCTCTTCTCTCGTCACATTTAACGCACGTATCAATATAGCAATGTTCTGCGATTTCTTTGGATCCAACACTCTATTCTCCTGCTCCAAAGCAGGCAAAGCCGACTTTCTATTTCCTGTTTCTTTAGTAACTGAAATTGTGGAATTACAGCTGAATAGCGACTCCATAGCATCCTCATTCAACCTGTTAGCACACACATCCACAATTACAGATTGCACACAAGATTGTATTCTACAAAGAAAATATAATTTCACTTACTGGAAGGAGCTTGACTTCAGGCGGTCCCAAACCGTAGCTCGTTCTGATGTAGCCCGTACTTTGTCCCAGTGCAAAGGCTTCAGTTTAGGCCTCGATCCATCTTTATCCTCCCTGTCTCCTTTATAAGCCTCACCACAACTGGGGATTACTATGTTCTCAGTCCCTGAACTTTCCTTGGAACTCGGACTCATCGACTCTGGCCTCGTCACTTTTTTCGAAACTGGCGAAGGTGTATTCGGCTCCACAGCTCCGAATTTTCTCGGGATTGTCTGCTTTGCCGCCGCCACTGCCGCCGCCAGCGGCGGCGGCGGCGGAGGAGGAGGAGGAGGAGGAGGCATTGAGATCTTCTGTGCCGGTTGATTTTCATTGCTAATAGATTGGAGCCTTGCCATATCAGGCGGAGGAGGTGGCCCTGCGAATTTGGGTCTTTTCTGAGTATAAGTTAACATTTTGTCCAATGGGGATACTGCCTCTGTCATCGGCTGTTGTCTGATCGACGGTATTATCATAGGCTTTGCCTCTCGGGACGAAGCAGAAAGCCGTGATCTTGGTGAAGTTCTCTTCGAATGGGGCACACGGCCATTTACCTGGTTTATTTGTGTGATGAGGTTATTTGCGTAATTGTGTCGCGACCCGGGTGACTCGTTGCTCATGCTCGACCCTTGCGGGGTGTAGAAATTCGTGTCGTGGCTCTCTTCATCCGACGAAGACATTGGCGGCGGCGAGCTTATGGCTGCTGCCGGCGGCGGCTTTGGCAGTGGCGGCAGCGGCTGCAGCTCAGGGCTGGGCCGGTACCTTTCGGATCTTTTCCCGGGGTTCAGTTTTCTGTAAGGTGAGTCGTTTTCGCCGTTGGTCTCGCTTGCTATGCTTTGTGCGGATGGCTCGACAGTCCCAATGTAGAGGAAGTTGGCTGGTGGAATTCTCGATTCTTGTGAATTTGGACCGAAGGGCTTCTGGGACTCGTCCGGATTTTTTTTCGACCTCTGCCTGTAGAGGTAAAAGGCGAGTGCGGATATGAGGGCCAGTGAGAGAACTCCTGATGCTACGGCAATTGTGACTTTTTTGGCGGGGTGTGATGTGGGAGTGGTGACTGAATTGGCCACTGGCGTGGTGGTGGTGGTGCTGGGTGACGGTGGTTGTTGGGCCTGATCTGTGGTGGGCCCGTTAGGGAGCTCATGGAAGAATGGCTGGTCTGGGTTGAGAGTGTCGGGCCCAGCAGGTGGTGGTGGGGATGGTGGTGGGGGGGTTGAGCTGGCTGGGAATAAGGGCTGATGCAGAATTCTTCGGTTTTTTGCGTCATCTGGGGATTTGGAGAAGGTGGATTGGGTAAGGGATGATAGAATTAAGAGAATGCTGATAAGAAGATCAGTTCTCATGGTTTTTGTTCTGTGGTGAGATTTCTTATTGTGCTCTTTTCTTTCACCTTATTCATCTCTAGTCACTTCTTTTTGCTCCTAAATTCTGTGTGGTCACCAGTGTGTAGAGAGAGGATGTGACAATGAAAAGTGAGAGAGAGAGAGAGAGAGAGAGAGAGAGAGAGGCTGTAAAGGAGAAGCCTCTGGCTCTGTGTGCTACAAGATCTGGATGCTTTTCTTTCTATCATCAACCGCCGCGCACTTTTTTTCCGGGAGATAAATATTCAAGTTTTTTTTTTTTTGCAATATCATTAATTATATAGAATTTAATATAATGCGTGTGTACTTGTACATGGAATTATTTGAGATTAATCAGATATTTTAGAACTGTGACTGAGACTGAGAGGTTTATTTGGGGATTAACATGGAAATATGGAAGGGCCATTTCGATGGATCGATTTAGGTGACTACAGTGCACAGCCATTGACTTTTCTACGATTGGAATTGGATTAACATACTGAGTAGATATATGTATTGTTCAATGGTAAAAAATTCAATGTTGAAAGCTTAATTAGGTTTTTCACCATTGAATCAACATTCACTTGTATTGGCATGATTGTATTGATTTAATGGTGAAAGATCTATTTATGAAGATTTATTTACGTTTTAAATGGATCAAAAGCTTCATTTTGATGATTATGGTGTGGTGCTTTATCAATTATGCTTTTTGGATATTATTAAATGGACGATGATGATGACAACGTAGTGGTAAGGGAAAGGACCACGTTGATTTCTAGCTTTCTTGTCCAGAAGAAAAATAGATTTATGGTATCGTTATACTGCTTTTTTCCTTTTTCTTTTTTTTTTTATTGTTGTATTGTGCTTTCTTCGTTGGTGGTTGCCGAGATGGACGTTGCTCCACCGACGGAGTGTACAATTTGCCTTCTTGCTGCCGTCAAATCCACGTCGAGGGAATATAATTTTTACACGGTAACTTGTCCTTTGGGAAAAATAGAATATAAACTGTTGTAAGCTTTATTCGTTGTTTATTCACTCTCTTTTCAACCCTCTTCTACAAATCTAAAAAATCAGTATAGGCACCCATATGGGTTTTAGGTGGTACTATTTTATTTAGGCGGCTTTTATAAGGGCATCCACATTCGTTAATTTTTTTCTTATTTATTCAATTAAAAAGTTATACTCTCTCTCCATTTAAACACACACTCATATCTCTACACATTCATTTAAATACAAATATGAGATTCATTATATCCATTCATTCAATATAAATTTTAATATTCTATTCTCAATAAAAATAAAAATAAAAATTTAATATTTTTAAATTATAATAATAAATTTTAAATGCATGAAAATAAAAGAACACTGCAAGATCAAAATAACTTAAATTAAGACCAAAATAAGGAGCTTGTGAAAATTCATCAGGATCTTGAGAAATTTTGAAAGTTTTGCCTATTATTGGGATCCATTTTTTTTTTCAGAAATGAGCAATTGTTAAATTTTTTGTGTAGGAGAAGTGTTAAATTTTTAGTGTAGGAGAAGTGTAAAAATGAAGAGTATTTATAGGAAAAAAAAAATGAGGATAAAAAATATAAATAAAAAAAGAAAAAGACGTAGCTGCAGAAAAAAAAATAAAAAAAAAAGACTCAAAAGAGCAGTTCAATGTTCTTAACGATAACAATGGTCCCACACATTAATGGATGGCTGCATTTGTTGAACGGAGACCAATGCATTTAAATGGGGCAAATTAACGGACCAATGCAGATGCCCTAAGCGCTCTGACAATTAGGCGGCTTCTAAGCGAGTTCGATGATTCAGACGGTTGCAAAGTTAGTCACACATTGATTGATTAGATGGTTTAAGCAACAACTTAGGCGGTCCAGGCGCTACCCAGCCATATATAATTTCTTATTATTTTTCAAATATAATAAAATGTATATTTTTATTTTTATACATGAAGTGTAAAATGATTATAAAATTAAAAAAAATACTCATGTAAAATTAATATACAATATTTTTTAAACTTTATATTTATACAGACAAAATGAAACAAATATTCGTAAAAAATGTGAATATAAAACAAAATAGAGGGAGCTCATATTATTAAAGTAGACATTGTTAATTTTGCAGCAAGATCAATTTTCAATCCAGTAGTTTATCATCGGCCTCATCCGTTTTCCACAATTTGTGAACAGTAAAAACCTAGCCAAGAAATTTGCCGCCGGCCTCCTCCCCGATGGGACGCTCCGCGCTGCCGCTTGTCATGTGCGCAGTCTCCGTCGCATAGTGGGCTTCTCAGCCGGGTGGAGTCTCGTCGCAGCGTCTTCGTCCCTTGTCGGGCTCTTCGTGCTCGAGGTGGTTCCGGCCTTCGACAAAGTGGCCGGCCGTTTTGCTCCGATTTGCGCCTGGCGAAGGTCGGAGCCGAGGTTAGTCCCTCTTTTTCCCTCTGTCGTCTTTCTTCCCTGGGGGTGGGTGGTCGGTTGGTGTCAGTGGTGGGGGTCGTAACTCCGGTGGTTGATCGTCTTGGACTACCGATGGTTTGTGAGGTGTTTGGAGCTTGGGTCTGGGTCGGTGCTCTGCTTGCACCTGCTTTTCCTCGTGGTGTTGGGTCGTTGGCTCCGGTGGTTTGCCAGCCTCTGGTTGTCGGCTGGTGAGGGGGATGAGTTGGGGCTAGCCTCGGGCTTACTGGTGTGAGGGTTGATTGTCTGGGAGAGTTTTTCGGGGTTGGTGTGTCGGATCTTGTTAGGCCTTTTGCAGTTTCAAGTTCGATGCTTTGCCCCGATCTTCTATCCGTGCGGGTGGTCTCTCTCGGCAGTTGGTGGCGGGGCGGATGTGGAGTTGCATGAGGGATCTCTTTTAGTTTGCCTTTGTGTAGTTTGTTGTTGTTTGGTTTGTGTTTTCCCAAGCCCGTCATTTGGCGCTGAAGGTGTTGGACGATTGACCCCGAGTGGTCCCAATTCCTTCTTGATTGTCATTCGAGGTGGAGGTCTGAAGACTCCCTTGGCGTTCCAGGAGGTGGCTTGTAGTGTTGTGTTGTGGGGTTCGTGTTTTTTGTGCTTTTCTAGTTCTTTTGGTTTTTGTGTTTTTGTGGTTTTTCTCTCGTAGGGGAGTTTTATTCTCCAATTGTGTATCTTGTTAGTTTTTTTTCGATTGTTAGTGGGTGCGTTTGTTCTAGTGTAGGTTCTAACTGATCCTTGGGATATGTCCTCCCACTGGATTAAGCTTTTGAGATGTCTTATTCGGCTTTTGAGTTGTTTTCTAGTTATATATATATATGTGTTTTTCTTCTATAAAAATTCTATTGTTTCGACATATATAAAAAAGTTTATCAATATTCCTTTTGCTGAAAAAAATGTTTTAAAAGGCGCTAGGCGCTCGCTAGGTGGCGGTCTGGGCCTACTTCTTAGGACACTTGGGCGGGAATTACATGGGACCCAAACGAGTTATAAAAATATCATCATGCATAATTTAATATACACATTTTTTATTTTCTTAATGACAATGAAATTGAACAAGTGATTGAAGTTTGAAAATGATAAAAATTCAAAACATTTATTAAATATGGAAAACAAAAAATATCAACAATTATTTTTGATAAATATTCATGCTTTCATTAGAAAAATAACATAAGTACTTTTATGACATTTATTTAACAACATGAATACATATATGACATTTATTTTAACAACACAAATACGTGTATGACATTTATACTATAAATCATATATGATTTGTAAATAATTGTAATTAAAGATAAAAATTCATGAATAATACATTTCACTTCTGGAGTTTAAGCTGGCTCGGCTGCCGCCGATGGGGATGTAAGATGAAATTACAGATCTAACTATCTTTCTTTTTTTTTTTTTCGTTTGTGTTCTAGGCAAATCGTCTCTGGTTTAATTATTGCTGATATTTAATCTATTTACTTATTAAACTGATGTTGACCAATTCTCTTTTGTTGCCCTCGCTATTGGGTTCGCATTGATTTTGCTGCAAGTGGAATGCAGAAAAGGACAGCAGTATACTTAATCACGTTTCCATAGGCAATTCCCCAAATAGGATTCATAGGTCCAAGAATATTCGTGTCTTACATATATTAGACAAAGTATTATTGTGCTTAAATGCCTTGATTTATAACAAGTTATATACATGTACTTAGTGGTGCTAACATAAATAAGCCGTTCATGAATAATTTTGGCCCTAATGTTTTATTTAAATAAAAAATATAAATTATTTGAAAACAAGTTCGAATCGGCTCATTTAATAAATGAGTCCGATTGATTGTTTGAGCTCACCTCATATAAGTAAACGAACGAAGCGAGCTTGAACTTTCACGAGTCAAATTGAGTTGTATTCACGAATAATTTAATTTAATTTACTCTTAATTTAATCACATTCTAGTCGGATTATCGAAATTGGGCCAATCCCTTTCCAATATTTGAGAAAACGAACTAGCAATAGCTTGATTTTCATTCAACTTAACACACGAATAATATAAATAGATAATCGGAGTCATAGTGAAGTTATTATTTATTCCTATATTTATTTATGTATGGATGTGTGAATACAATGTTTGTGTCCTCCACACTCGGGAAACTCCATAGGCATTCGCTCAACCTTAGATGTCACTAAATTGCAGTTGGATTAAATTTCCATTAGCGACATTGGAAATAAAACTGTAATGATAATTGAATAATCAATTGTAGGATGTTAGGTCTGTGGATTCATTAGACATAGTAGTTTGGAAAAAATACATAAACTTTGTGTTGTTATGTCTATGCGTTAGACATACTTCTTTATAAAAAATGCATGCACATATTATGATATATAATATTTTTTCACATATTATAATTTAATTCAGAACACTTGAGCATAAAAATGTGTATATTTATTTACTGTTGCTTAATCATTATACACCTTTAACAATATCTTACAAGATTTGAACCCAAAAGACGTAGGGTCAATGAAGTCTTCTTATGTCTACTTCATAAGAGAGAATAGTTCAATTATACATATATATAAACATGAAGGAAAATGAACTATCACTT